CTTAACTTATAAGACAAGTTTTTTATATGTATGTCACATAAATAGCTTATTTTATAAGCTATCAATATCTAATTAATTTATTGACAAAGTTTTTAACCTAACAAGCAACTACAAATATATATAAAGTCAAAGTAATGTTTATAAAGCTTCTAGAAAGTATTTTTAAAATATATTATGAAAGAAATCTACTTTTAATTACTTCTACATAATCATATAGGTAAATATTAAAATAAATATATATGTCCATGACAAGCCCTAGTTTTTAGTAGTCCAACTTATTATAAGGTCAATTAATCTCAATATTTTGTTAAAGAAGCCATAATTTATCTTCAACTTAAAAATCAAGGAATTTCTTTCTAAATTCGCCTAAAGATGCTTTATAAGAATCTTGAGCTACTTGTTAATGGAGCTTCAAAGTTGTTTAGGATAGTGACAATTATTTTGCAAGATCTTCAATTGTTAGATTTTTATCCATTGATGTACTTAATAAATCAAACTTTAGATGATAATCATAATTACTATAAAATCAAAAAAAATAAATTAAAGTATGAAGAGTATGATTATAAGAAAACTTTGTTAAAATTAAATACAAGTTTCAATTATTTTGTTAATAGTTGATGGTAAATTATAAATACTACTCCAAAACTTGATTAACTAGTTTTGTTTGATCATTTATTTGAAGATAGAAGAGAGAGGAAAGTTTGACATCTACCTTCAATAATTCAAAAAGAGATTTCCAAAACTTTGAAATATATTGATGTCTTTGATAAAAAAATGATGTTAAGTAAGCCATAATATCAATATATATTATTAAGAAAAAACCTTGCTATTTTTTTTTCTAAAAACTATCTTTTTACATAGGATAAAATATGCCATCTTTATAATTTAATCTATAATAATATAAATAGTATTAAATATAATTAGTGGCAATAGATCTATAATAAAATCCATTAATATTGAAGACCATGGTCACTTTGAAATTGGCAATGATTCTAGAAGTCCATAAGGACAATGACAAGAATTCTTCAATCTTCAATAGATGTCACATGAGAGAACAAAGTTTTTCATGGTCTTTTACATTTGAAACCACTAGAAATTTTAAGAGATAAGCTCTAATGTTTTGTTAAACTCAAAATATCTTATAGTTGAGAAATTTGATGAGATTCAAAGAATACAAAGTTGCATTAGTTCTTTTGAAATATATAAACAATCTTCAAAATAGAAAAGATCTTCTATGAATTTGAACTTGTTATTATCAAGATATTTTTTAATACTACAAACTAATGAGTCTTTAAATGATGCTATTATGTCATATTTGTACATAATGTATAAAAATTAGATAAGAATAATAAAATATATTAGTTCTTAATTTTTAGTTAATTAATTATTGTAGAGGTTTATAAAGATATATTTAAAATATTATCTTATTAGCAAGAAGTGTTGTAGTTGTTAGAAATAAAAAACTAAGTTTGTACAATGAAAAAATAAGTTCTAGGATAATTAATTATTAAAGTGTCTATTTCATAAAAAAATTGGTAGATATATTTTTAATATTTCTATAAATAAGTATAAAAAAATTTATAGAAATATAAATTATAGTTTGTGAAAAACAGAGATTTAAAGAAGAGAAAGAGGTCAGGCAGCAAGCTTACAAAAAAAACAATTGAGGCTTTGGACATCAAGTGGCAGCTTGGAACTTATAGTAGTGGATAGATGATAAGGTGCATGGATGGCACCTAAAAGGTTTGGGGTTTGAAATTCCATGGTCGCACATAGAAGAGACGAAAAAAAAATATTCTTCAAATATTTTCAATTAATTTATTAAGGATATCCAGAAGATTGGCCCCGCAATGCTTATATTAGGGAATTATGTTGGGAGGATTAGGCTAGATGACAAGGGCACTTGTCACCTATAGATGGAAGTAAAGAATCTTCTTTAATAGCAATATGATGTTTGATGCCCATGCCTTCTATATATTCATCTTTCTCATAGATTAGTATATAGCTCTCCATAAAAAGAAAGAAGCCAAAATTTGGTTGTGGCTTAAAGTGAGATGTCATTAATATTCTAGAATCTTCAATCCAATTTTTTTTCTTTTAAAAAATATACAAATTCAAATAAAAAAATAAATAAATAAGATTTAGGTTTTGAAGTAGAATTTAGAGTTTAAGATTTTGAAGTAGGATTTAGGATTTGGGATTTGGGAGTAGAATTTAGGATGTAAGATTTAGAGCAGGATTTAAGATTTTGAAAGAATAGTAATCTTTTTAGAAGGAAAATATAAAGACTCTCCAAAGAGGTTTTGTTTTCTTGTATTTTTTTTTACAAATGTCTATTGAAGGAAAAATTGGCGATATGAAGGCAAGTGACTTTACTAAGAGAATTGTGTTTATGAAGTGTTGTGTTGCTATAAGGTAGTAAAAGAATCAGTAGCAGTTAGAAGCCTAATGTTTTCTCAAGGTAATTTTTTTCTCCACAATAATGATATATAAATTTATTTAAGAAAATTTAAATCAATATGTGTAATTATAGATATAATATAAAGAAAAACATATTTTTGCTTCAAAAAAGTAGTATATTTCAAATCAAATATTACTTTCTTGCATTTGAAATAAGATATGATATCTTTGATAAAGTATTCAATAGTCTTTGATATTTTTTTGGTCAATATGTAATCATAAAATCAAAATACAATAATGACATATTCCAAAGAGTTTGGCCTTAGGAGACTCAACTATACTAACATCTTCATTTCTAGCCATCTTAAAAGACAAAAAGGAAGTTTCTATATAATACTAGTTTAAAAGAGAGTATTTTGAAACTTCTAAAGCATGTAGGTGCCTTCAAGAAGAAAAATAATCTACTCTCTATGAAAAATGATCAATCTTTAGTATTAGTAAGAGGGTAGTCTTGACAAATTGTTATAGATACACTATAGAGAAAACCAAACAAGAAGTTAAATAAAAAAATTTCAATAAGAAAGCTAACAAGAACTTAATTAAACTACATGAATACAAGATCAACACCAAGAGAAGTGAATTAATGCTCCAAGAAATGTATTGTCAACACTAAGGATCCTTTCATCCTTGATTCTAATATATACTAGGTATTAGGAAGCTTCTCAAGAAGTCTTCATGTTGCTTGAAGATGAAGCAATCTTAGGAAGCTTCTTAAAAAGTTTCCATGTTGCTTGAAGGTGAAGCAACCTTAAAAAGCTTCTTAAATAACTTCTTTAATCCTATTAGAATTTTTTAGAATTTGATTGAATATTTTAAGAAACTTTTAGAATATTTTAGAAATCACTATTAAATATTCTATTAAAATATTCTTTAAAAATTAAAACCTCATATTAGAATATTCTAAGAATCTTTTAAAATCTTTTGAAACAATGATATAACTTCTTTTAAAATTAGTTGCCTAAAAGAGTTGATAATGTAATAAATAGCCATATTTTTTAGTATATTTATTTATATAAGTAGAATTATATAGAACTAATTAAAAGTAGGTTAAATTTTTGCTATTTTATTAAAAAAATTCTTAAAAGCTATATAGACTTTATACATATTTATAAGTAATTAGTAAATTAACAACTTGGCCACATGTTGCAAATTTAACCACTTGTATTATAAATTGGCCACATAATACGCATATCTAAAACTTGCCCTACAAATTAAACATGTGTTTGTAAATTAGACATGTATCATTTGGTCTATAGAATATTGTCACATAGTTCTTTAATAGATAGTATCCATAGAGACAAGCATAATGCCTTCTTTATTCTTATCAATGCCTTTTTTATATTCTATGTTAGTCTAAGACCTTATAATCTTTTGTATTTAACAATATTTATTTTAGTTTCAATTCTATATCTATCTTTTAGTTGTTTACTTTTTGTCTTTGGTAATATAAGAATGTGATATTATTTTTAAAGTTATTTTGTAATTTATATCTTTGATAAATAATGTATTTCATAGATGTTAGTTTTACATGATTTTTCTTCCACTTCTTTACATTTTTTTTTTTTACTAATATTTTTACTTCACTGATTATTGTAATAAATAATATTTTAAATAATCATCAATCATCTTATGTAATTCACCTATCCAAACTTTTAAAATCACATATTTTTTTAAATATTGTTTGGTATGAATTAGAAAATATTTGTACATTCTTATAAAATTATTGACTTAAAAGCCACGTTTTTTTAATATTTAGATTAATCATGTCATTTGTTATAAAATTTATTTTTTTATTTTTTTATTCTATATATAATATTATAAATATATGATGCAATTATAAAAAATAAAATAAAAAATAAAAAATAAAAATCTATACAAGAAAGTAGCTACAACAACCACTACTCTTATTTTTTTGCTTGAAAACATTTCATTCCAAATCAAAATATTTGTGCAAAATCAAACTCTTAAGTTAGGACATCACCTAACATCATACCTAACTTTAGAAATTAGAATTTCAAGGTTAAAATTTAGGAAAAATATCATACATATCCTTGAAATATGTTAAAATATCAAGAATATCCATGTACTTTTGATAATAGCAAATATATTCTTCACTTTTGTCCTTTGTGATAATTACAAATCTACCCTAGGGCTTAATAAGGTAGTCTTATTTCCATTTTGGATGAATCTAGGGCCCAAACTATGTGCCATGTACATTTAGGCAAGACACTTTTTTTACACAAATCGGGCTCCCCCACAATGAGACATCAATTTTTTTATTTTGAGCAGACCAAGAAGCAGATTGCATAGATCATTGGGCAACCGGATGCCTGCATGCCAAAAATTCCTTCACTATGTTGTATTAATAAATTCTGAATTGTGGTATATTGGGTAAGTTATCACTCTGCTGGAAGTACACATCAATCATGGGTCTCATCCATATTGAAACAGTACTCCCAGACTGCATTTCATTCAAACCTTAAACTAAATTATCCTTTCCACCTTGACTATTCTGTAACATAACGAGAGATGGAATTTCACACTACAAAGGATGTTTTTTGTATTGTTTTATTGCAAGTGAGCTTGCCTGAGAGGCAACATGTGAAGTTGTATGGAAGGAATCTCATTCCAAAAGGCCATGCACACTATGGTAGATTATTGGTGGCGGTGAGGAAAGGTAACGCCGCACCCAGCGTGGATACAAGATGACAGCGTCACCGGCTAGCGATGAGGGCGCCACAATCTAGAATTGCTCAATCGGTAATGCACCATGCGCTGATCAATCCTAGCCTGTTTTCCTGCAGTGGGTCGTGTTTATGGGCTCCGTGTTACACGGCCAGCAGTTTCTTCACATTAATGGGGCTGATGGCGTGCAGGCCGCCAAAGAGGAACTGATTGTTGCAGATCTTGTTCATCTTCTTCGTCGGGTGGAAAGCGTCCCAAAACACCGACTTAGCTCTGTCGGGGCATAGGCGTGAGATGGTGCGGCACGCCCCGTCGATGCTGATGTATTTGCCTACGCCGCAGCAGGCCGTGGACACTGGATCTGTGAATCCTGCATACAGAAAGCGAAACGATGATAGATGATGGTTGGTTGTTTGGAAGTTTGTGGAGAAGAGTGAGAATTTCTTGTCGGGGGGCAAACCAGTTTTGAATTTTTTTGGATTTACCGTGTTGCAAGGGGTTATCGATGATGGCCTTGACGACGTCGTAAGCATTAGTGCAGAGGAAGATGGAGTTGGAAAGTTAGGCTCCCAGGCTCTCCAACATGGGCTTCAAGGCGGCATTGAATCCTACGGCGTAATTGTTCCTCTTCGACGCATTCACCTCTTCACTGACTGAAGGTGCACACCCAATGGGACCGATGTTAGAGTTGATGAACTTCAAAATCCCCAAATAGTAGCCAGTCTGCAATAGTCTCCAATTAAAAATTGTGGACTGCAAATTATTGAGTCAAGAAATTCCCCAATTCACGTTCCAGAAGATTGTGTGGAATTGAATCGAGTTGCGCTTACTTTGATCTGGCTTTTGAAGCTGTTGATGAGAAGATCTTGGTACTGCTGCGGGGTGTACATATTCTTGGTATTTATTGCGCTCGCTAGGTAGTTGTTCATGTAATCGTTCCCCCCGATTGTGAATGAGTAGATGGCGTTGTAGATCAAATCGTCGGTCGCCGGTCGCCCAATGATCTGTGCAATCTGCTTCTTGGTCTGCTCGAAATAGGAAAATTGATGTCTCATCGTGGGGACCCGACTTGTGCAAAAAAGTACCGCGACAAAATCTGCGCACTCGGTTCACCCAAAATGGAAATAAGCCTGTATCTTATCATGCCCACTTGGGTATGATATTTTTATGATATTTTCCCTGGAATTTAATCCTCACTCCTTGCATGCTCACTGTTCCGACCACATTTCAAACATTACATACTTGAAAAGATCACTTTTTCCTCTACTTTGTCTGACGAATGTCATTACCGCAGCAAATATATATATATATATATATATATATATCCAAAATCCAACCTCAACAGCCATTGATGGCCTCTCCGTTGGAAAATAAAATAGCTGAGAGAACCATACCTTGTTGCACGATGAGTTGTGACAGCAACCAGCACGGGGAATGGGAGCCGCTTCAAGTACAAGTCTGCACAAGACTGACAGAGAGGCTGGTTGACACGGTAAGCTTGCAAGAACGTAACGTGCACCAAGGTACAACCCTAACTTGGCAGTCTGCACCCAGCTTCACTAGGAGTCATCCAAATGATCAACTCGACAGCAAAAATGTCAATAATGGCGGGTGTCAAAATAGCACCCACAAATGTTCGCGTAGAATATCAGCACTTCATCTGCTGAATTACAAGGTACTTCACAGAGATTTCACAAAATTCACCGTCAACCAAGAGAACATCTAATCTAGATCCATGTGCAAAACTATGACAACGGGTCGAGGGAAAAAAACGTGCTGGCTGGAGATGAGGGGGACAAGATGTATATGACGTGCTGTGAAAATACAGAGCTGAGGGGATTGTCTTGACATCATCAAGGTGTGCCCACGACGAATCGTTGAGAATTGCAGCAGATACTTTTGGAAGGCATTTGATCCCTGCTGACAGAAAGGCAATTTGCTTAAGAGCCTCCTGTATAATGTTAGCACAATTTCAAGGTCACAAGCTTGGTGATTCTGTATCAAGTGATGTACTTGCTCGGGTGAAACCTTTTTAATTTTTTAACCAATTGGACAGTAAAGAAATGAGGTACAATCTTTACATAAAAGACCTAATAAAAAGTGGGTACTCCTTAAGCAACAATGCGTACATTTTCAACACACCACCACCAGCAAGATCCTGGGCGATTGGTTTATCTCTAAGCTGAACCTTTTGAATACTACACTAGTCTCATGCCGTATCCTTGACAACGGCAACATGCCAGTTGCAATATACGAAAAAACTATCCCTATCCACTTAACTAAGACAAAAGATAATGAAATCGGGCACTAGACCAGAATTTCTGTCATGCACTTAATGGCCATGAAAAACTTGTAAACGCGACCCATGCAACAGCTCAATAAGGAAAGCTTCCTGTCGCACAAAGCGTGGTCGGTGAGCTTGTAAACCTTCGTAGCCTCATCTTGCAAGCCGATACAGTTTGTCCTAGACCGCGATTTTTTACATTTCACTTGCTAGGATGCTTTATACCTAGAAAATAGCTTCAGGCCTGTCCGTGAAAAACCTCCTAGTACCCGGTATAGATAAACCTACATCTGGTAGGTGATAATCCTCTCACAGAGAGTGATACTCAGCAAACAGGATAGAATACCCACCCACGAGAAACATCGAATAGTAACAAGAATCAAGCAAGGCCTGCATCCTTCAATACGTGCTCAATACCTTCCTCATTGTCCCAAGCCACCTGTAATAAGAAAAAGAAAAAGAAAATAGATCAATAGTATATAAAACAGCAGTGTGGATACCTTACTAGAGGGTGAGTCTGTTTAGTACGTAATAGCAGGCATATTTACCGCCGAACACAGAATTCAAGGACACAGCATTGTTAAGTTTTGAAACATACATGTCACAGATCTACAAGCTTAAACAAAGAAACAAACGATTATACACAAGCGAGCCAAAGCTAGGAGAGTAGTGCCTCAATTCAAACAAATTATCTAGAGCACTACCTCAGGAACGTTTCTGTTAAAGTGCTGCTCAATACTTCGCATGATCCTTTTGTCTTCTTGAGTAACCAGAAGGTTGAAAGCAGCACCTGTCCAGATAAAAACACTTATCAGCATCAGACAACAATCGACTAAAATGCTCAAATTTTACCTGTTAACTTAACTGCTGCAAATAGAACGGAACAAAAGCAATTTACAACAGGTGAAAGAAAAAGAAAAACACAAAAATAAAAACAGGAGGAGGGCGGAAGAATCAGTAAGATAGTTACAGTATTACAACAACGATTCTGAGTGACCGCATAAATCTTAAGAAACTCGGCATGCCCTTTAGTAAATAGGATCAAGTCCGAGACAAATACATAAAAGAAGGGTGTGCAAAATCTCACCTTTGCGGCCAAACCTCCCACTTCGACCAATCCGATGCAAGTAAGTCTCATAGTCAGGCTCGGCATAAGCATGTCTATTTGAAGTATTCTTCACAGGAATATCATAGTTGACCACCAAGGTGACCTGAAAAACAACATTAAAGTGTTCAATCCAACAAGCATAGGATACAAAATAAACCGAGCACTTGAGCAATGGACATTGTGTGAATAGCATGGCGGAAGTATCCAATGTGCCATTGCAGATAAGCATAAAAACCTCGTCTACCGCTAATGGAAAAAGACAATCGACACCGAAGTGCATTTGGTGCAAGGTACTGTTCAAAAGTTTGCTTTAAGAGCACAAAAACCTTACAAGCAATCGCATTCCATCCTGCTGCATACCTGGGCTTGATCAAAGCCACGTGCAAGTACATCAGTAGCGATCAGAATCTTGGTTTCTCCTGCTCGAAATTCCTTGATCACACGATCACGTTCTTCATGGGTGAGACCACCTTGTATACTTGTGCACTTGTGACCGTCCTCTTCCAGGCATTTGTGGAGCTCACTAGCTGCCCCACGGGTGCGAACGAAAATTATTGATTGACCTAGTTTCTCTGCAGCTGGAAAAATGCGGTTCTTGAGGACATCAATCTTTGACCGGGAATCTGGACACACAATTTGGTACTGCCGGATAACGTCAAGTGAAAGCTGCTCTTTCTCAACAAAAATGTAGTTGGCTTTGGGAATGGTCTTCATTGCAAAGGACTTCACTTTCTCACTGAAGGTTGCAGAGAACAGAAGCACCTGCAAAGTTGAACACAACTCTAGTTTAACACATAAAAACTTTAAAAAACGCTCCAGGATGCAATTTTCCAGCACAGAATATCACCTTCTATACAAGAATCCAATGCTTAAAGGGCAATCGTTAATACAAAAAAATCAAGACCTAGGTTGCTGTTGAAAGAACTGTTCAAATCCTTACTTGGCAACTTTTTCCACTTCTATTGATATCTCTCCAAAGCCTCAGCGAGTCATCTTGAAATCCATCCTGGAAGAAAAGCAATATTAATTCTTTGCCAGACATATCATAAAAACATGTGATTGGAAAAGACATTTATCAAACTGCTTTTACACCACCAACAATTTTCGATTGGTTGTACGAAAATACGGTTGACCAAACCTCTCTTAGTAAATGATAGGGGATCGATACTGTGCTACGACGCATACACGCTGTAGACTACGAAACTATATTCAATGCATACATACGGGATGAGTATAGTATAAAATATCACTTCAGAGAAACTCATGGCACAAGGACTACTGACCCTTAGCCAGTACTCTGACCTTCAACCCTAACAAGACACCATGTCATAATTTAACAAGTCCAAAACGTCTTACTTGATCGAACATTTGATCGGCTTCGTCAAACACCAGAATCTTTATATTCCTTGTGTCCAAAGCTTTGTCCTTAGTTATCCAGCGCTTCAAGGTTCCTGGTGTACCAATAACAAGTTGATCCACGATTTTCTCACGCCTTGACGAATACAAGTGACTAGGTGTTTCAACTGTTGCTGTGCTTGCCGTCGTTATTCCCGTGTATCTTCCCATTCGAGTCACCACCTCCTCGTTCTGTATACGCGAGAAAGATTAGTTCTAAGTTGTAAAGAATTGCTGCCCAGAATACCCTAAAAAAATGATCCTCATTGCATGTGGCATCTTGAATCACGTAGGCCGATCTTACAAGCCCATCTGTGCGTGAGATCATACAATAAAAGTAGAAAACTATAGGACAATACCTAGCTACAAACCGACCTGTTCGGAAAAAAATCATGCACACCGCTTACGAATCGAGAGATCAACAAAACAATGACAATGCATCGTTGTAAACTCCGTATAAACCCGTAATACCAATTGGTAGAATTCATTACCTGATTAACGAGCTCTCGCGTGGGGCACACGCACAGGGCTTGAGGAGCTTTCAGCTGGGGATCGATGCGGCTCAACATACCGAGAACAAAGCAAGTCGTCTTTCCCGAACCATTGTGAGCCTGCGCGATCAAGTTTTGGTAAGGCGGCGAGACAATCATCGGCAACGTCGCAGCTTGAATCTTACTAGGTTTTTCGAATTTCATTTCCGAATACAATCCCTGTAGAAGCTCCTGCGACAAATTTAGGTCTTCGAACGACTTCGCGGAGGTGTACGGCGTATCATCGGCAACAACCTACACAAACCATCAACCAAAGAAAAATGCCATTAGAAAATCCACCCCTGCACAACCAACACTCTCCCTCAATCTACAAACACGGTGTCACACAGCGGTTTCACCTTCTTGATCGTTTCGGGCTCAATAAGCTCCTCACTCTTGATGTGCCCAGGCTCGTCAACGATGTCGTCCACATTTTCCACGATTTTAAGACCTTTCATTTCAAGCTCCTCGATATTTTCCGTCTCGGCATCGCCATCCTTCTTCGATGGCGTAGGCTCTGTTGCCTTAGACGCCGCGGAGGTGTCTTCCACCTTCATCACGGCCTCGGATTCCGCCATGGCGGCGGCAGCTGCAGCACCAAACCCTGGCAATCACTCTCACTCTCTCTCTCAATCTCAATCTCTCCCTGGTCCTTCCTTCTTCCTCCTCCTCCTCCTCCTCGTCTCCTTCTTATTCTACTTTCTTCTCCTCCGATGGCGATGATCAGGTGCAATGGCGAGTGAGCAAGTATGCAAGCAAGCAGGCTGCGCTGCAGCGAAGCAATCTTCTTTACTTGTCAATCTCCTGCTCTTACGCTTCAAGCCCACGCCAACACGGCGGCGGCGACGGCTCTTCCGGTGTCTGCTAATCTCTGCCGCCGACGCCCGGCGAGGGCATCGTATAGCTATTTTCCCCTGCTGTGGATTCTTATGCACGCTTTGGGGTTTTGGGTTATAAGCAAGCCTCCATATTTTAGGGAATTTGCAATTAAATTCCTTAAATAAAATCCCGCCACAGATTTTAAATAGGATGTGTGTATAATGTCACATTGTGTATAGACGTCCATTATGCCTCCAAAACAAATAAAGAAGACTTTCAAGTTTTAATCTGCTCAAGTATGGTCTGGAAATAATCATGCAATATTCTACCAATATGTTATAGTGATGGCTTGTGTGTGTTTCTTTTGCATTATATTTGGTAAAGAGAAGAAGGTTGGAGTGAAGCAAAAAATAACAAATTCTTCTAAGTATTACTAGTACTTTTAAACAAACAATTACTTGCAATACATTTTTTAATAGCATCTTAAGAAATGGAATATATACAAATAACTAAAATTGTCACCAAAGGAAGAAACATTTTTAAAAATGTTGATGTCTTACTTGATAATACTTTAGATATATATTTTGAGAAGTCTAAAGTTATATGGTTCAATATTAATAATTTAATTGTAGAAGATATTGTCAGTGACATATATTTATTGTAATGGTTACATATGTGATATGAATAGATAGAAGTAGGTAAAAGTAGATTAATTTCATAATATCTTCTAGAAAAGCTTCCTAGAAGCTTCATAGACGCTGCTTTGACTTTACATATGTTTATACTTGATTGGTAGGTTAAAAACTTCGTCAAGAAAACCACATGCCATACATGTTGGTAGCTTACAAAACAAGCTAACTATGTGGTGCCCACATAGAAAACTTGCCTTGTAAGTTAAGATATGTATTGTGCAAAGTCAATATGTTTTTGGAGGTCTTATAGAATGTTGTCACATAGCTCCTATATAGATAGTATATATAGATGCAAGAGTGAAGCCTTCTTCACTCTTATCAACTCCTTTCTTACTTCTAATCTAGTTTCAAGGGTCTCTAGTTTTCTTGTCTTTTGGCAATAGCCATTCCAATTTCTTTCTTAATATACATATTTAGTTATTTCTATTTTGTTATCTTTCTTCAAAAAAAGTCTCACTTTTTTATTTGTTTTTATCAATTTCTTGTCCTTGATAGACTGACAAGAATGCACCTATAATATCAGAGCTTTATCTAATCTTGATTAATAGTGGATTACCCCTTTCTCTTGATAAGACATAAGCGTGTTAGAAGTTGCGGATTACCTTCTTCTAAACTGATATTGTTCTTAGTATTTTCTTTGTTCTCAAATCCTCTCTTCTATTTGTTTTGAGTGATATTAGACATCTTTTCTTTTCCTAAGTGTTATCATGGTAGAACTTGTTGAAATGAAGAGTATAATGGCACAAATGCAAGAACAATTGAGGGAGTTAATGCTTGCAATGCATCAACTCAATTTACCACCATAAGAAGCAACAAGTTTGGCAAGAGTGAAGATATAGAAATGATTGGAGCTGCTTCAACATCTCCACCAAATCATGTTCCTTCTCCTATGGTGGAACACCCTTCCAGTGTTTGAAAACCAAGAATTTCCCTACCTGAGAAGTTTGATGGCACCAGATCAAAGTTTAAAGGATTTATCAATCAAGTATAACTTTTGATTGAACTTCAATCCCAAAGCTATCCAACTCCTGAATCATAAGTTAGATTCATTGATACGCTTCTTTCTAGTTTAACATTATCATAGTTTTTATCTTTTCTTGAATGACGAGATCCAATATTGGATAATTTGGAGGCTTTTTTGGGAGAGTTTCGATCCATGTATGGAGAACATGATACAATTCGTGTTGCAACCAACAAGATCCATATTTTATGACAAGATAATCGATTAGTAACATTGTATGCTTCACAGTTTTAACAACTTATAACTAATATCAAGTAGGATGATACTGCACTTGTTAGCCAATTTCTCTATAGATTACAATATAAGATAAAAAAAATTAATGCTCAACTTATCTGATCTTCAAACATTGAGTTAAGCAATTGACTTTGTTGTGAAGTGCGACAATCAGCTTTTTGAATTCCGATCTGAGAATTATACAAGTGCACCTCAACGTTACTATAATTCAATGGCAACACCAATATTTCTTCAATGCATATATTTGGAAGTAGAAGATATGCAAATTGATATAATATGTTTCAAATCTCTTACTGAGCAAGAAAAGACTCATCATTGTCAAGAAGGATTGTACTTATATTGTGGAGAACCTAAGCATATTGCTCAACATTGCTCAAAGAAGCGACGCAACCACAAAATGAGGAGTACGGCCATCAAAGAAGATAGTATGTCAAAAAACGAGTTTGTTTAGCTATAATAAGGACCGTGCAGATGGAACCTTATACAACACCTAATGAAGGTCCTATTCTCTCCTCAAAATCCTCTTCATGTTTTACAATAAATGTTATTTTAGGACCTAAACATCACAAAGCCTCTATTTTGTTAGATTCAGGAGCCTCAGCATGTTTCTTAGATGAAAAATTTGCTAAAAGATATAGCATACTTCTAGTGAAGAAAACTAAACATGTTCATGTATTAGTCATAGATGGTCGTGCATTATCTTCAATAGATATTACTCATGAAATCCTTCCTATAGAAGTAGCAACTAATGGTCATAGTAGCTTTGTAATATTTAATATCATTAGATCTCCCTCTAATCTAGTCATTTTAGGTTTATCATGGCTAAAAAAATATAACCCTAAAATAGATTGGATTTTTCATAGTCTTGACTTTTCTAAAAGTATAACTAAGAGCATAGTTAATCAAGTAAAAAGTTATAAGCTTAATACAATTAAATCTGTATTTGTAGGTACAAGAGCTTTCTTACATGCTACAAAAGAAGGATCACTTTGTATCATTTATATTACACTTATTTCTATTGATAGAAAGACTTTAAGTGGCATTCTAAGCCAATATCAAGATTTTTAAGATATATTTGAGAAGAAGAATGTGGATACTCTTCTGGAATATCGTTCCTATGACTGTTCAATTGACCTTCAAAAAGGAGTACAACTGCCATTTGGACCAATCTATAGTTTATCACAAAATGAGTTGGCTGAACTCAAAGAGTATATTGAAGAGAATCTGGCCAAGAACTTCATACGCCATTCCAAATCTCTAGCACAAGCTTCAATTTTATTTGTAAAGAAAAAAGATGGATCATTGCAGATGTGTATCGATTATCGAGGACTCAACAAAATCACCATCAAGAATAAATATCCACTACCTTTAATATCTGAACTCCTTGATCACTTTAATTAAGCTAAGATCTATACAAAAATAGATCTATGATGAGCATACAATCTGATACACATCAAAGAAGGAGATGAATGGAAGATTGTATTTCAAACAAGGTATGGACATTTCGAACATAATATCATGCCTTTTGGACTTATAAATGCACCAATAGCATTCCAACATCTAATAAATTATATATATTGGGAGTTTTTAGATAATTTTATTGTCTATCACCTAGATGACATCTTAATCTATTTTAAGAATACAGAAGAATATGAACTTCATGTTTGTCATGTATTACAAAAATTAAGAGATTCAGGACTTTATGCCAAGATAAAAAAGTATATATTTCATACTACTCAAGTCAACTTCTTAGGATACATCTTTTCAAATGATGGACTTATGATGGATTCTAAGAAAGTTCAAGCTATTATAGATTGGAAGATCCCAAAAATGGTAAGAGATGTCCAATGTTTTTTAAAATTTTCCAACTACTATCAGATCTTCATGATAGAATTCTCTCAAGTTGTAGCTCTAATTATACATTTGACTTGTAAAGAAAAACTTCAATGGAATCAAGAAGTGGAAGTAGCATTTGAAACTTTGAAGACAACCTTTATTTTTGCACCAATCTTGTATTATGTCAATTTTTCTAAGTCATTTTTTATGGAAACAAATACATCAGACTTTACTTTGGGTGCAGTATTGTCACAAATAGGAACAAATGATAAACTTTACTCAATAGCTTTTCATTCTAGAAAATTTTTAGTAACCAAGATCAACTACAAGATCCATGACAAAGAATTTTTTGTAATCATAGATTCATTTTAAGAATGGCGCCATTATCTAGAAGGTGCTCTTAGTTTAGTCACCGTTGTCAAGATAGAGAGAGTTTGCTTCAAGAAAGCACTGGGCTTTTGGCTACCACTAAATACTCAATCAAGTCTATGATATAAAAAACCAATTTTATACATATAATATTTCCCGTCCTTAGGCAATTATATCAAAACACAAGGCCAAGTACCAAGAAAACATCCAAATGTATGATAAAGATCTTAAAACCTTATATATCCTTACAAGAGATGTTTTCCGAACTTCAACAATTTATATGTCACGATCAGACTATCCAAATAATCCTAAATTTTACATAAAGTACTGATATGCTTTCAAAAACTACCACAAAAAAAATTCAACTGTAAATTCATTACGGATCTTGAGATATCATCAAAATCCTAACAATAGCTTTAAACCCTAGCTTACATATATCCACGTGCTAATTTATTTATATCTAACAAAATAAGTACTTAAATACCATGAAACTTTGATCTATAGCTTTTCAACTTAATAATTCACACTTATGGAAATTTTGAGCCAAAAATTCGTCTAGAAACTCAAGATATGGCTCCAACCATTACTATTAACAAAATGACTCACTTACTGCCTTTGAATTACATGTGCTGTCTTCAATGTCCTATAACACCTTCATTCAGACTTAGAATTCATCAAAAAATATATGTAAAATATAGCCAAGAAAGTTTTCTCTCCAATTCCACTTGCCGATCTTTCATTGCTTTCTATACGCATATGTTATGCTTCAAAGAATGACAATAGGTACAAATTTGATACCTTAACTTTGAACACCTATATCTCCTTCACAAAAACTCCAAATCATACAAAATCTTTATCCAAATTATACCTAAAATCCTGAACTTGTTGATCTTAGCCTTCAAAGCTCAAATGATCTCGA